AATCAAGGAAAGCGACTATACTTCAACTATTTACGGCTTCGTAAGCAAACGCTTCTATTTATCATCAACATGCTAAATTATATTTTATATGAAACCTGAATGTAAAAATATTGGAGTGACACTTTGCCTTTAATAATCACATTTTTTAAAATGATTCATCATTATCGTAGTCAAGAATTCCAGTTGAGTATTAAAATATATTGTCGTCGAGAAGTTTTCTCATAATAAATAATACAATAGTTATTTTAATTACCACCCTCTTAAATTTAGTATCTCTATTCTTCTTCGCGTTTACCGGCTTTAAACTCCTGCGGAAAGTTCTGGCGATTCCTCTATCACTAATGGACCTTCACCCTAGTCCACTAGTCCTGTTCCAGAACCTGAGTGTTGGCTACGTGCACATCCGTTTAACAGATCAGGCTAGTGTATCTATTCATTGGGATAGCCTGTGACCTAAAGGTCTTGGATTAGAAAATGCATTAAAACATTAAAAAAATTATAATTGACCAAGGTGTATTCAGCCTTTGATTGGTACTTGTACTAGTAGGAAATATGCTGAGAAGTGAAAGCTGCTAGCATAAAGTTGACCTTGTCAGTCAACAAGTGTCGACTGGTCTTGAAAAACGTAGATCCAACACAGTTGACTTAATGTGTCAATGATGAGAGAGGGGTCTTTTTTAAATTGTAGAGTAATAATGAAATGATGTGTTTGAAACATAAACATGGTTTATCTTGATAATGTTTTACATATTGGCAGATAAAAGAACAGAAGTTTAATGATGCTATCCTAGTATTAAATCATCACCTACAAGGAGAGACTAAGGTAACAATTTTTCTTTGTAATCATGATTGTAACAAACAGACCAGAAATTATGTTCACAGTTGACTCTAGTATGAACTGTATACCACCTGGGCAAGGATTACATGCACTAGTATACCCATCACTGATAGGTTCCAGCCATGACTGCAGCAACACAAGACTGTACATTATGTTCACAGTTGACTCTAGCATTAGTATACCCATCACTGATAGGTTCCAGCCATGACTGCAGCAACACAAGACTGTACATTATGTTCACAGTTGACTCTAGCATTAGTATACCCATCACTGATAGGTTCCAGCCATGACTGCAGCAATACAAGACTGTACATTATCTTTAAAGGTCTCTAACATGTATACCATGCATACTTCCCTAAAAATGACAGGGTATTGTATTAATTTTTACTCCAAAGGATATCCTGGAACTTATTTTCAGATGATTTCTTGTATTTTCATGTACACAAATCTACACTTATATTACCATTTATTTAGACCATTACTTCAACATATGTCATTTATTTATTCATTCATTACTTTGTAATTCAGTTCCCATTATAGTTCAGTGGATAAACCTCTGGCTGACAATTTCAGCTAGGGCATATTGTTAGATTAGGGCTTATATTGGTAGCATCCTAAAAAATCATTGAAGCCCTTATTTTTAGGTTGAGTCATGTTGTTGGAAAAAACAGTATTATTTTACCTAGCACAAGTACAGTAGGTAGTCATACAGTGTTTTTTGTAAATCTGATGACATCAGGGAGCTGAGGTTATACAGTAGCTAGCATGCTTGCTGCCAGCCTGCTGCTTATAGGTTTGAAACCAAATTTTCTCAGTGGGTTTCACATCCCCATAATGTCGGCCCAACGCAAAGTAGCCAAAAGGACGGCTGGGCCGATTGGTCAGCCCCGTGTAATAAAAGCCTTGATATTGGCTGGCAGGTTTTCATACCAGCAAATCAGATTGCTTCTCGCATTTCTTGCACATGTGGGCTGTTTAGTGACAGCTTTCGAGAAAGTTTAATATGTTCTGTAATTTTACAGTGAATTGTTTTGTGGGCTTACCTGTGCCCAAGAACAGCAAAAAGGCCTGTTGCGCCATAGCAACCGAAACTTAGCAGAAGGCATACAAATAAGTAAAACCAATTGTCAGAAGTGTCTAAACGGCCTCCATGGGCCTTATTTCCCAAAAACACAGGTCTTAGGACTTATTCAGGCTTCATCCATAAAAAAATTTACCCAAATTTTTCAGGTTAGTCATGTTGGATCCTAAGTTTAAAAATAAAATTCCTTCACAAATTATGCAAATCATAATAGTTAATTTAAATAAATGTTGAGGTTTCAGTTTTATTTATACATATTTTGTTAGTTCATTAATTTTCCTCCTGGAATATATATAGTTTTGTATATGTTTATTGTGCGCTTTCTTTTTTATAATTTTTGTGTGTAAACTAGAGACTTCTTCCCTGACGGCTTCATCTTTTGGGCACTTAAACTCCAGAAAGGCTTCATCTCCAAAGGGTTAAGTCAGTGTACATCTGCCTGAGAGACAAGGAACCAAGCGTCTCTATGCAGATTAACTAGATCTGTTAAATGGTGTGCAAAAGAACTCTGATTCTAAAACAAGATTAAGGTCCATAAGTGGATGAAGAATGGAAACTTTCTGTCAGTTTACAATTCTTGAATGCTAAGAAGAAAAAGAAGAAACCACATTGAGCAGGATTTTAAAGATTGATCTTGGTTGCTTTTTCTGGCAGAATTTCTTCTTTATCTTCTTTGCATTCACTATATGTGATTGTAAATGCAAAGACAAAGTGTAGCTCCAATATTTTTGCATGCATTTTTCGCACAAAATATGTTTGTTCAACATAAACAGTTTCTTTATTGATTGTAAATATGTCTTTAGATCTTAACCGTTTCATCTTGAAAACATAAAAATGTGATGAAAGCTTCAAACACATTTCTCTGGCATGGTGTATTTAATCTGATTCAGACTCGAGCAGCCCTGTCCCTCCTGGCATACTGTTACTATCAGGTGCAGGACTTTGTTAACGCATCAGATTGCTATGAGCAACTGGCATCGTTACACCCAGAGGTGGAGGAGTACAAACTGTATTACGCCCAGTCACTGCACAAGGCTTGCTTGTTTCAAGAGGCAATGAAAGTTGCATGTCAGATAGATAATCCTAGCTACCAGGGTCGGGTATGTTTTCATTTAGTTGTATCCTTGTGTGGGTTATGGGGCCACATTGTGGGGAAAACAAGAATAGACTGACTGCAACAAGCATGTTGTAGGACTTCGAAGTTAAAGTGCATCTGCCAGAGCGGCAAGGAACAACCAGCTGCACACAAATAAGCCTGTAAAATGGATGTACAAGCAAAAATCAGGCCTTGGCACAAAGCCAAAGTCCAAATGGACAACGAACAACCAGGACTTTCTGCCTGAGCTTACAGCCAGTGAACGAAGAAGAAGATTTAGTCTCTGTAAACTTAGATGACTAGCACAAGTTGTTTATACTGGTTATAATGTGTTTGTTAATTCTGTCTTGTTTTTATGGTGACTTTATGACTATGTAGCTTGGAGGTTAGTGAATGTGTTTAACAATTTGATTATCCTCGAATACTGGAGCTTGATTTCCACAGCAGACTTTTTAAAATGTTTTTTTTAAAAACCTGTCTCATGGGTTTTAGACAGTGGTGTGCGAGTATGAGAGTGTCACCGTGGAAGAAATTGGGGCTGTATAATGTAATGTTCCAAATGACTGCAGTGGGTGCGGTGTAACCAATTTTCACTGTGGAGATGACATACTGTTTGAAAATTATTTTGATTTAAAAAAAAATAGTCATTAGAGTAGCAGTTTGGCAGTTGTTCCCATGATTCCTGAAAGGTGTCGGAAACTTGCTACATACAGCAAACCTTTAATGCGAAGCTGACATTTAATGATAATATTGATGGGCGAACATTTATTACTTGTAGTTTATTTTTCTTTAATGGTCACTGCAACTCACGGTGTCTACAATACTACCCAAGGTTTGGACTATGAAGAGGGGGAACTTGTTGGCAACTGAAATGTTCCAGTTGTGGAAGACTATCTGAGTGGGGAGTATTGCTAGTCACACTTGCCATCACCATGACCTGTCATTCCCGCCATGTGCAGCGTTCCAGAGACGTTGAGACAGGGGTGCCAGAGACGATGAGACAGGGGTGCCAGAGACGTTGAGACAGGGGTGCCAGAGACGTTGAGACAGGGGTGCCAGAGACGTTGAGACAGGGGTGCCAGAGACGTTGAGACAGGGGTGCCAGAGACGTTGAGGCAGGGGTGCCAGAGACGTTGAGACAGGGGTGCCAGAGACGTTGAGACAGGGGTGCCAGAGACGTTGAGACAGGGGTGCCAGAGACGATGAGACAGGGGTGCCAGAGACGTTGAGACAGGGGTGCCAGAGACGATGAGCTGCCTGTTAAAAACGGGTATTAAATAAGGGCAAGCATGCAGGAACGGGTATGTGGGGGAGGGGGGGGGAAGAAAGAAGATATCCTATCAGCTCCTATTGTTACGACAAGATGGAGACACGGGGATAGCTGCTGCATTGGAAGACGCAACGTGAATAGGTTGGACCGATATGTGCTAGCACAGTATAAGACTATAAAAGGTGTCAGAAAACAGCTGTCATTGGTTATCCAGTCCATGAACTCACATTTTTCAGTAAGTTGAGTTTTTTTTTGGGTCACTTCCCCGTGTTGGTTCTATGACCTCAGTAAGGGGGAAAAAGACTAGACCCACCCCCCCCCCCCCCTCCCCCGTCCCCCACTCACCAACAAGCATGTTGTAACAGTCAAATATTTAGGTGTGTTGCCTTCAAAGTCAGAGTGCATCTACCTGAGATGTGATGAACTAACAGTCTGCATACACGTAAGCCAGATTTGTAAAATGGATGTGCATGTAAAACTCAGTTTCAGAAATAAGACTGAAGTCCAGAAATGGTTGAACAACCAGAACCTTCCACCAATTTATATCCGGTGAATGCGAAGAAGAAGATTTATCATTACCTGATAATAAAACAGAAAAATACAAAGCATCTGGAACTCCTCAGCCAAACTGAAATACTGAATGGAAAGATTACTGATATATTGACTGAAAGCAAGCATATAATTTGTGCATGTAATACTTTCTTCCATGTCCAAGGTTCTGAAACTCCAAGCTGCTATCAAATATGATGAAGAGGATCTTTCTTGGGTTAAGGTAAATTGTACTGTGAAAACATTAGTAAGATGTGTCTACAGTTAAGGTAAAGTTTACTATATAGAATAAGGGCAAAGTGTAGTGTATGAGAAAAGTGGTAAATAACAACCATCTACAGCATTGCTTTTTTACTGAGATTTTGCAAAGGCCAAAGTTGGAAAATGGGGATCGTGGTGGGCCAAAGGCCTGAGCACTAGTGTTGAAAGCTCACTATTTTGGCAATAATCTGTGAGCCACTTGATAGGCCTCTGTGGGCCAAATTTGGCCAGCGGGCTGCAAGTTGAATAGCCCTGATATACAGTGTAGGTTCACTTTACTGTCATAAAAAATATTATAGCATCACTTGCCAAATACACCATTGGTGTGAAAAGGGTCTTCAGATTATAAACTCCATTACTGGAAAGGAGTTTAGAGGTTAACTAATCCAGGTTCTTCTCATAGTAACAGACATCATCATCATCCCCTAACACTACATGTTATTGGATCACCAGTTTCTGTTGACTGTCTGATCAACTCTCTCCACCTTTAGCAGTCATTTGCGATGGACTTCGTGGTTGCATGCCTGAGGCCTGTTTAGTCAGTCAGATTCTGTAACCAGGTCTTTCTTGGTCTGCCTCTTCTCCTCTTTCCCTCTACTGAGCCCTGCAGTGTTGTTTTTGAGAGGCTGTTAGATCTTATTACATTTCCATACCATTGCATTTTTCGCCTTTACAGAATAGTTAGAAGAGGTTCATATGTGACAGACAAGATGTATAGATATGATTTGATGTGGGTTTAAGTTAAAGGTGAGAATTTGGTCATTAGTTGCTATTTGAGGTTCCAATACCACTGCAGACGGGTCATCACATAACTGCTCCGTTGCTTTGCCAGTGGAGATCACACAGAATATCTGTCACTGTCCTATTTGAAAACTATTGAAAAATATGCCGGTTCCAGTAAAATCTGGACGCTTGCACATGCAAAATAACAATGCGTATGGCAGCTGTAAGATGTGTAAAACCTATTGGTGCCACACTAGAATTTAGCTTACCGTTGGCACGAAAGGTCAGTCATGAAAGCTGGCATTGCACCGGTATAAGAACATGCCATTCTGAATGTAGCTGGCTACCTACCATTTTAGTGCAGTCAATAACACGGGGCTGGCAGCACAGAAAAAAAACATTCTATGTGAATTTCAGAGTATCATACCGAGCACTCATTTCAGAAGCTGGGTGATGGAACCCTGAGTCCAGAAATTTCAGTTTACATAATCAAAACCTGGCTGGTGTAAAAATAATTTTTCAGAGCATCGGCATCCGCTTCCTGCTGGCGATTTTGACCAGAATTCCTAAGAATGCATAAAGGTTCTTATTTATTCTACCTACAAAGTACTAAATATGACAGAAACTGACTATCCAGCAGAACATGAAAATAAGACACGACCAGGGATATTGTGTGCATAAATGCGCATGTCTATGTGTGTTTGTGTGCGTGTCCATGCATACAAGTGCTTATTTATTAGTATGCCTTGGATATATCTTAACTTTTGTTTACACATCAAAGTACTGTATATTATATTTGTCAACAGTGTTTAGTGGACCAGTGCCCTTCTGATGACCCAGATACAGAGATCAATTTAGGCTGCCTTCTTTTTAAGGTATTGTCCTTATCTTTGTGTGTGTGTGTGGATTTCAGTTATAATTATGTGAGCAGATGTAGCCTAGTGTAGCCTAGACACACGCCTGCCAGCCCAAAGGTCTTTGGTTCAAATCTGCATTTAGGTAGATTTTTTTCACAATTGACCTGGACTGCCAGGTTTTCCTAAGCTAAAATAGGTACCATGTAATTTCTTGGGAAGTAAAGGCAGCTAGCGTGATGTCGACCACTTCACCCACTAAGTGCTGATTGTTCTATAAAAATATGTGTCTAGTATTGTATGCATGATGTACCACTGGTGTAATAAGGGCCCTTTACTTTACTTAAGTTATAATTATGAACTTGTAATGTCTGTGGCACACACAGCTTGTTAGACTATTAGACTTTTTTAAATTATGAATTTGCTGTATCATTTTAATGTGGTTCTTTGGTTATTTGTGTGAAATACTCGCATGACTCGTTTGTGGATAAGGATGATGCCACATGACCGACTAAGTAAGGGCATCAGGCACATCAGAGTGAGTTTCATAGGTCCCATTTAATCATGTGAATCACTGAAAACAATTGGATAGCGGCAGGCCTATTAGCATTTGATAGTCTGAGATCAAAGAAGATACACTGTAAAACAGGTCTGTATGTGTGTATACATATATTAGGGCTGTACCGAATAGGGATTTTCACTATTCGGCCAAATATAAATAGCGGGACAAACTATTCGGCCGAATACAAATAGTGTATCGTAATGTGCCTTGCCGTCTGGCGTGGGCCTTGCCGCAATCTGCGATCTCCTGCAACATGTATTAGTTTGTGTGCTGACACACCTCCATGTCATGCAACAAGGCTGTCAAGAATCTTCTCTCCTTGTCTTCCTCTGTCCCTCCTTTCACAGATATTTTCAGTGGTCATCACATGTTCCATTTTCCCTCTTCTCATAACATGGCCAAAAAATTATGACTGTCTCCTTTTGATGTCTGTGATTAGTTGTCTTCAGGTTCCCGCCTCTTTCGGAACCTCTTGGTTGCTTTTTTTTTTGGCTGTCTAAGGTATTTTAATCATTGTTCTGTAAAACCACATCTCTGAGGCCTCAAGAAATTGTTTGGCCTGCCTACCGATTGTCCAGGATTCACAGCCATTTGTTAGAACTGGATGCTGTACCACACATCTGGGTCGCAGTTGCCCCCGCTATGACAGACTTAAGCAACAGCAACTATTGTGTTAATGAGAGAGTTATTTCAGTCTATCGCAGTGTATGCAGAGACAGGTGTAAGGTAACCACTATTTGTATTCGGCCTGACTGCAAGTATTCGGCTGAATACAGAATAGCTGTTAGGTCCACTATTCGGCCCCAAAGTGAATACGAAGCGATTATTCGGTACAGCCCTAATATATATATATATATATATCTCTTCTCTTTAACGCTTACTGGCTGTAAACTCTGATGGAAAATTATGGTTGTTCGTCCATTTCTGGACTTTTATCTTTTTCCAGAACTTAAGTTTTGCATGCACTTCCATTTTACAGATCTAGCAGATTTGTATGCAGACCGTTGGTTCCTAACTTCTTCGGCAGATACATCGTGAAAAGGAAACTTCCCTACTTAGTCGCCTTGTTTGACATGTTGGTTATTTACTTCAGGTCATGAATCTTCCCTTTCTTAGTCACATTGTTTTTCATTTGTTGTCTGTTATTGTGTGCTGTGTATAGTATTCTGCAATGGCAAACTACTGAAAGTAAAATTTGCCTAGAAGAACCTCAGCAGCCAGAAAATGCCTGGTTTTGGTTCTGCGATGACCTGTAAAGGATATGCAATTAACTTTTAATGTATTCTACATATGTCTCTGCTTGCAGGAAAAGCGATATGAAGAAGCTTGTGTTAAATTTATTGGAGCCATGCGAATGGTTGGCTACAAGGCAGACTTATCCTACAATATTGCTCTGTGCCACTACATGTTGAAACAGTATGCTCCTGCCCTTTATCACATCACTGACATTACAGAGAGGGGTATACAGGAACACCCAGGTACTTCTGTTTGTTGTCACAATGAGTTGTTTTGTGCCAATCTGGCATGTTGTGTTAAATTTATTATTTGACCAGAAATCTAGCTTTTGTATTGCCTGTAGTCTTATTTTGAGAAATTAATACGATGATGAACGAAATTACCATATTTTTCAAGAGTCACAAATTGGGCATAGCAGGCCCGTCTTACGTTTGGTTCTTCCAAATACTCATCTTTTATACACCAAGTGTATTTCTTTTTCTACAAAACATCTTATGTTCACACTTCAAAATACATAATACTAGGTACTTTAATGAATATGCTAAAAAACATTTTTAAATAACGAACTAGCATAGCTGGATAGGTATTGAATGCAATCCAGCATTCAGAATAAAGAATCCAGAATAACGATTTTTGAAAAATGCTGTACTATTATCACATTAATTTGCAAGTTGTCTGTTCATAAATATAATTAGACACAAATAATATATTGTTGGGTTTTAAATAACCATTGGAACTGTTATAATTATTTTCATAGTGGATGAAATGTCCCTGCTTTTTACACCACTGCTTCAACATTAAATTATCAGACCTTTTTGAGTTAATTTAAGAACTGACACCACAGCACTCAGGGTGTTCACATAAGTGCTCCATCCCCATGTTCAGCAGCCAGCTCAGTTCCAATACCAATGATGCCAGTAGCAGTCTGATTATAAGTCTGTTTCCTCTTTCCTCTGTGCACTGAGTGTCGGCCAGATCCCCTTGTCACTCCTTGCTGCATCACTCTTATTGAATTTCTCTGGCCCCTCTGCTAGAGTTCATTCACATTGTCTGCCGCCTAATTTGAAGTTGTTTATTATTTCAAATAAACTTCCCTCCATTATTAAGGCGGTTCCATCTTTCTGATGGGAAATTCAGAGATAAATTCAGATCTGTTTTGTGACCGACAGGCACCTGAGAGTACTGAACATGTGCTGCAAACATGCTGTCTCCATGTAGTAGGGAAACCTCAGAGCTGGCAGGTTATCATTCTGGTGGAAACCAAGCTGTAGAGATCAGTAAAGGACATGGATTCCACCGCAGCCTTCATCAAGACCTGTGGCCTTATCATTCCACCGCAGCCTTCATCAAGACCTGTGGCCTTATCATTCCACCGCAGCCTACATCAAGACCTGTGGCCTTATCATTCCACCGCAGCCTTCATCAAGACCTGTGGCCTTATCATTCCACCGCAGCCTTCATCAAGACCTATGGCCTTATCATTCCACCGCAGCCTTCATCAAGACCTGTGGCCTTAACATTCCACAGCAGCCTTCATCAAGACCTGTGGCCTTATCATTCCACCGCAGCCTTCATCAAGACCTATGGCCTTAACATTCCACTGCAGCCTTCATCAAGACCTGTGGCCTTATCATTCCACAGCTGCCTACATCAAGACCTGTGGCCTTATCATTCCACCGCAGCCTACATCAAGACCTGTGGCCTTATCATTCCACCGCAGCCTTCATCAAGACCTGTGGCCTTATCATTCCACCGCAGCCTTCATCAAGACTTATGGCCTTAACATTCCACCGCAGCCTTCATCAAGACCTGTGGCCTTATCATTCCACCGCAGCCTTCATCAAGACCTATGGCCTTAACATTCCACTGCAGCCTTCATCAAGACCTGTGGCCTTATCATTCCACAGCAGCCTACATCAAGACCTGTGGCCTTATCATTCCACAGCAGCCTTCATCAAGACCTATGGCCTTATCATTCCACCGCAGCCTTCATCAAGACCTGTGGCCTTAACATTCCACCGCAGCCTTCATCAAGACCTATGGCCTTAACATTCCACCGCAACCTTCATCAAGACCTGTGGCCTTAACATTCCACAGCAGCCTTCATCAAGACCTATGGCCTTATCTGAAAACCCCCGTCAGGTGATTGAAAAAAAAGGAAGATCCAGGGTACTATTTATCACTAGTTGATTATTTTAATATTTGCCAACTTCTTCTTCTCAAAGCATGCCCTGTGGTGTTGGTAGTCATGTATATCCACAACCTTCTGTCTCCTGTATTTTCAATTAACTCTGACACAGATGATCTTCCATGCCGTGATGTCAAACTGTCCAGCATCTGTTCTCTCGGTCTCCCTCTGCTTCTTCTCCCCTTTCCTACTGTTATGATGTACTCCAGTTTTCTCCTTCTCATCAAATGACCAAATAAAGTAGATTGTCTCTTTCTGATGTGGGCAGTCAGTTGTCTTCGTGAGTCATTTTTTTTTCAAGACGTCTTCATTACTCTTTTAATCAGTCCAGGGTATTCTCATCATTCGTCTATTAAACCACATCTCTGCAGCTTCCAAATAAATTTTAACTAATTTACCAATAGTCCATGATTCACTTCCATATGTCAGTATAGGGTTTATATTGCTTTTCATAATTATCTTTCTAGTCTCAGTGGACAAAGAAAGATTGCATAAAATATTCTTTTGATTATTTTAGTATTTGCATTTAACATTATCAATTGATTTGAATTTACTGTTTGCATTTGTGTGTTTGAGGCACACAGTAATTATATTTTGTTTCCTTCATAATAATTTATCCTTTTTTCAGAGCTGAATGTTGGCGTGACTACAGAAGGCATTGTTGTCCGCAGTGTGGGCAACTCTCAGACTTTGCATGAAACTGCTCTGGTGGAGGCCTTCAATCTCAAAGCAGCAGTAGAGTACCAGTTGAAAAACTGTATGTTTACTAACTTATTCTATAGAGTTACCTTTCTTTACAATGTTAACTGTCTTCTTTTTAACGCATCTGGTCTGGAGCAGACCTCTGCTAATCTTCGTCTACCATTTAGTCTGCATTGAAGCAAAGGCCCCCCAACCAACTCTTGACAAGTCATCCTATCTTTTGCTTTCGAATGCATTTCATCTCATGTTCTCTCCAACTTGTTCACTTCACTCTCTGATTCCCTCCATGTGTTTATTGGTCGGATTTTATTCCTTTTACCCTGTGGGTTCCATTGCAAGGACATTTTTGTTATATTGTTGTGGGGTTTAGCTATTATGATTTTCGAATCCTCTCTTTAGTTTGATATTTTAATGAAATTTGGGACGCAAGAATTATTATTTGTTGTCCGTTTTAAGCTTTCATAAACATCTTCCTATGCATCTCTTGCCTAGTATTATCCTGATATAAAGCTAATGTCTTCATTTTATCACTTCTGTTATATGTTTCATAAATTCATTGTTTTTTTTATTGTTCTGATGAGTGATCTTGTAACATCTTAAGCTCTCTCACCAGAACAAAGTATTTTTTTTTTCTCTGGCAGCAATATTTCATGCTTCTAAAACACAAAATCTTCACTACTACAGTTTCATAGTTTCATTGCTTGTTAATCGCCATATGTTGGTATATAGAATGAGTCCACAACCAGCTAGAAACCAATTTTTAGATTTGTGTACTGGTTATATTTCAGTTTTCACATTGGTCTCTGTGCTAGTCTTGAAACAAAAATCCAGTTATTCTTTTCATTATTTCTGTATGACATCTTTGGTCGAATGTCACTTTGTAACCTTGATACTGAACATGAGTTAACATGAGAATTTATGCTTTTTGTGTGTGTGGAAAATACCACACATTCAGTTTTGCTTATATCTTATAATGATCCTTTTTTCTCACTTTCCTTCACTGATTTGTCTAGAGTATTTACTTCAGTATTTTCAGTGTCGCATCAGGGCAGATTTGTTTCCTTTTTTTTTTTTCAAAAATTGACCTTGGCTCCCAGGTCGACCCAGCCTATAATGGGTACCAGTTAATTTTGTGGGAGGTGAAGGATACCAGCGTGATGTTGAAGACATCCCCCGCTGGGTGCCAGTTGATCCGTCAACAAATATGAGTCTAGCATCCTATGCCTGATGGGCCACTTGTGATTGGATTCACATATATCCACAGCTAAAGATCATCGTTTTGACATTGAAATCATTCTACAACGTTGTATATCCAACAAAAATGCTGACATGCAAGAAAAGCCAATTACTTTAGATAAATCCAGCAGATTGCTGATTTGCAACTTCATTCCTTATTATTAATAATTCCTCCATGCGGCAGACACATTGATTAACATCACGGCATGACAAGGCTGTTATTTACTGTGGCATCCAGAATCAATTTTCCTTCTAAGATCCACAGAACTTGGACACATACGTACTGCTTTGCTGCGAATCCTTGGAACTAATCTCCTAACAAGATGACAGTACTCAGCAACTTTTTACGTAGTATTTACGTCATTTAGTATTGCTGTATTCAGTGCATGCGACAGGGGCAAACAGCCTAACCACTTAGCCACAGTGGCCCCTTCCAAAGTCAATCAGTATTTCCAAAGTCAATCAGTATTTATAAATCACACAAATTATATAGACATCTGTAATATATATTTTGCTAGATAATGCAGCAGTAGAGGCTTTGACTGATTTGCCGCCACGATCCGAGGTAGAATTAGATGCTGTGACACTGCACAACCAGGCCCTAATGAACATGGAGAACTCCCCCACCCAGGGCTTCACTAAACTGCAGTTCTTGCTTCAGCAGAACTCTTTCCCACCCGAAACATTTGGCAACCTCCTCTTGTTGTATGTGAAATATGAGGTCAGTGGTGTTTGTGTTTACACTTTTCTTCTTCTTCTTCCTTTTCTGCTGCTGCTTCTTCTTCTTCTTCTTCTTCTTCTTCTTCTTCTTCTTCTTCTTCTTCTTCTTCTTCTTCTTCTTCTTCTTCTTCTTCTTCTTCTTCTTCTTCTTCCTCTTCTTCTTCTTCTTCTTCTTCTTCTGTTGATGCTTCTGCTTCTTCTTTTTCTTTTTCCTCTACATTCACCCTTAAGAAGGCTGTTGGCACATTGTACTGTTTACAACTAGGATGGGATATCTGTGTCTTCCCCCCTAGCAGCAGAGGGAACTCCGTGGTCGAGCCATTTGCCTCATGCAGTGAAGGTTGTGGGTTCATTTCACGGCACCACCACTCAGTTCACGAGTTCATCTTTGCTGCCTTCCCTGTGTGGTTTGCGGGGTCCTGTTTTGGGAGAAACAAAGAATAGACTCACCATCCCTTAACAACCCTTAACAAGCAGCATGTCATAAATGACAACTAATTGAGGTTTTGCTGCAACCAGATGTATTGGGCCAAAAAGACAGATTCTGCAGCCTAGCTGTAAACCACAACATAACATGTCGGCCACCCCGTTTAAGGGCAAATGCAGAAGAAGAATATGAATATTCATAACATTGCCATATATAATTTCTTGTGCATCAGTATTTGTGCCAGCACAATGAGGTCACCAGATTTCTGAAAATTAAAATGTTTGCTCCCTGTTTGATGTCAGTGTCAGCATCTGTTGCTTAGGTGTATTCCCGGGGTGCCGGGTTCGATCCTAACTGCGGTGCCTAGACGTACATTTGCCTAGAAAAACCACAAAAGCCACACACACAAAATGCTGGTGCTGGTTCTGCAACCTCATGTAAAGGATACACAACTAACTTTTTTTAATGTCAATAAATCACTTTCCTTTTTTCAGAACCATGACCTTGCTGCTGATGTCCTGGCAGAAAATGTACATCTCACACACAAGTACCTGACTCTGGTAACCTGTTTATAATACATATCCTAGTTGGAGAAAAATATTGCCAGTGTTTATATTGAAAGCATAAAATACAAAGCCATTATACAAAAGGAGTATGTGTGTTACCAAATTATGTTAGGGCGGCGTCCGTGGCTTAGGTGTTGCGAGTCCGACTCGTAATCCAACGAACCGCGATTGAAACCCACTGCTGGCTGCGTGGGTTTTTATCATGGTATGGGGTCTCGCAGTTCGACCCAGCCTAAAATGGGTACCAGGATGGCTGTCCTGGGAAAGTAAAGACTGCCGGCGTAATGCTGACCACATTACCCATCCAGTGCCGATTGGTCTGTAAAAATATGGGATGCTCTTCCCATATTCCCGATGCGCCTAAGGCGTGAAAAGGGATCAATAAAAAAAAATTATGTTGGGGGGGGGGGGGTGTGCATGTGTCCATGGCATGTATGTATTCAGTGACTGTTTAGTCCTGCTGGAGGGACTGTATCTGTTGTGTGGATATTTAGTTGCTAGTGGAGGATTGTTTAGTTTGAGGTTGAAATTTTGTGAAAATGCTGTAAATTTACGCACATACCTTTATACCTGTATGTGTACACACAGTGTAGCTGCTGTAGATGATAGATGCAGGGACTTGGTGCATACCTTTAATGCAGTGGCAAAGATACCAGAGTACAAACTGCAGATACGAGGGGAAGTCAATAAATTTATCGCAGATGGTTGTTAAAAAAAAAGAATTAACTCTATGAGTCCCAGGGAACGCATCCTACGTTCATAGGTTCATACCTAGAGACCCAATAAATGCAAGATGCACTATTTTACATCTCTTTTGACTACCCCTTGGGCCTCTGATGCTAAACTCCTTGGGACTCAAGGAGTCAAAGACCATAACAACGTGAAAACCGATTATTTTTACACATATACTGTCCCTTTATTTTTCAACATAAATTCCACCAATGCACTTGTTCTATCAGTCCTCCCAAACCTCCTGCATAGAACTGTGCTGTGTTTTTCTAAACCACATTTTTACTTCACATTCAACTACTGCGTCATTTGCGAAGTGTCTTCCGCCGAGGTGGGTTTTCAGTGGACCAAAAAGGTGGGAATCGCTAGGGGTTAAGTCGGGGCTGTAAGGTGGATGTCCCAGAAGTTTCCACCCTAGATGATTAATTTTTTCTTCTGAGTTAACTGAGCCGTATGCGGTCTGGCATTGTCAGGAAGGAGCAGTTTTCCTCTAGTCAGCAGGCCTGGAGGCTTTCTTCAAATTGTATCGCGTAGCGCCTTTGATAAATTTCAGTTCTGCAGAGAAACTAAGTCTCAGGTCTGCAGAGAAACTAAGTCTCAGGTCTACAGACTGCTTCCTGGGGATCCCTGATCGGCTCAGCCTGTGAGGAGTGCATATCTCAATAAATGGATGTGAGGTTAAGCAGTCATGTGCAGGGCATGATGATTCATTAGGTGAGCCCAGCACCAGAGTGCCATGAGTTGACCATGCATTTATGGATGCCCATGTTCTGCCATTGCCTTTCCTTAAAGGTCAACCAATCGGTGGGCAGGTCCTCCAGGGACAACACGTGTGGATTAGGGGATGACAAAGTCACCACACAAATGAGTCTGCAGATGTCCCACAAACTAATGGACAAGACTAACCCAGATGATGATTCCTCTAAAGAAATTGAATGTGTCTGCTGAAATGTGCAAATCGCAGCTATGCTAAACAAGCACAACACACTTACATCACTCTGATGACGGTTAAGAAGAAAAATTGTTTCCTTTTAAATCAATGAATAAATGAGAACTACACTTAACCTAATGTCCCTGTTTGATATTGATTGCACCATGGAATCCTCCTCAGTACTTGTTTGACTTTCTGCAAGTGGTAATAACCAGACAAACATCACCAGAAGAAGCTTACCGGATGCTGGATAAAATGGTCACCAGTCAAACAGAAACTCTAAAGAAACTGAAAAAACAGGTGTGAAACATATTTGTGTGTGTGCATGTGTGCTTGCGTGTGTGGGTTTTAGTGTTCTCCTGTGTCTAAGTAAAAAATATATAATGTTTAGTCTCAGAGACATTGATAGAATATGTAAGTTAAAAAAAAAAAAAGTAAAGATCCATTTTCACATCTTGAGGTGCATCGGGCATATGGGAATAGAATATGTATTATGTCTTAACCCTACCAGACCTGAGACCCTGAACCTAACTGTCCCTATAACCTGAGCTCCTAGGCATTACCGCGAAAAAACCAACATGATCTACAAAAATATTAGTTACATGTAAACGAGTGGCTAGAATATGATGAAACTTAGAGACATTGTAGAAAATAGGCTTACCTTTTATCTAGCGCCAATATTCCACCTTTGTGTGCGAATTCACTCATAGGGATCAACTTTGTTTCACAAAGTGAACACCAGATGTTACCGTCTGATGGACACACCCCCTTCTCCAACTATCGACCTATTTCAAGATTGATAATTTTCAAGATTTTCCTCATCATTCGCGCTCTCACTGACAGTGTCACTTCAAGAGCATATTCTTTATGAAATTATCACAGATAATGTATATATATATATATATTTATATATATATATATATATATATATATATATATATATATCACAGAGTCTGAATAAACCAAAGTAACGATCACCTGTTGGACTGTGAAAAGCCTAGAACTTGGTTTATCAGCTGCTTGTTTCATTTTGAATTTTCAGAATTTTTCCATGTAAAACAACACAAGTATAATCCAAACACATGAGGGCAGACATTTGCAATGTCTAACAAAGAGAATTGATAACGATTGGGTGGTTATTTTTAGTCCGTGACACATCGTTTTCCCGTACTACACAAAAAGCCGAAAATTAGGGTCAGCGGTATAGAGACAGGTTAAGAAATTCCCGGTAAACCGGGCCAGCGGTCTGATAGGGTTAAAAACTGTCTTTACTTTCTGTTTTTAACACCTTTTATGGCAGTGTTGACTGAGGTCTTTGAACCAGAGAATTTATGGCCACAGGGCTAGTGCATCTTCCATGAGCTGTGAACAATCAGGATTTTTTATTTTGACTCGGACATGTTGTGAGAAGAAAAGACTCAAAAACTTGGCAATTTCTGGCAAGACTTATTGAAAAAGAGCAAGACGAATGCAAAGAGATAAAAAGCTGGAGGCTTAGGCTTATGGATGGAGTGAAGCAAGAACGCTGAACGGATCAATGATTCTGGTGATCGTGTGAAATGGCAAAACATGGCAGCCTCTGCTTATCAGCATTGCACATGATAATGATGATCTAAACATTGACAAAGGTTCCATAACAGTTTCAACACAACATCCTATCCTTTGCCCTTTTCATGCAGCTCAGTCATTGTCCTCCCCTTCTTATTCACTTCTGCCTCTAAATCTTGGAGGAGGGTCCGTGGCAAAATTGTCAAGCCATTCGCCTTGCACTCCGAAGGTCATGGGTTTGTTTGATAGCTGCGCCCTTCAGTTCGCAAGTGCAGTTTTTATGGAGATCCCAGAGGATCGTAGTCGGAGCTGAGGAGTTCTTGCTCTGTGTAAGGTGCTCTCGGTATGTGGCTAGCCGTTCTGCGGAGATAGACCGAGCCATATGAGATCAAACTTGGTGCAAAGAAGTCTGTTCTCTCAACTTTAACCTCTAATTATCTACTCCATGTGGTACTTGTTCTTCTTCTGTTGTCTTAAAAAGTGCCAAATTTTTTTCACTTTTTGTCTGTTTCATCCAGCATGAGGAGATTGTTTTAAACATGCTGATTTGTGGGATTTGTGTATCTTTCTTATTCATATGGTAACACAGTGTAGACTTTGAAAGCATCATGGTAACACAGTGTAGACTTTGAAAGCATCATGGTAACACAGTGTAGACTTTGAAAGCATCATGGTAACACAGTGTAGACTTTGAAAGCATCATGGTAACACAGTGTAGACTTTGAAAGCATCATGGTAACACACACATGTAACAGTTAAATAAAGGATCTTTTTATGTCTCTGGCATGCTGGGCATTAGTACTAGACCAAGACTTGCTCCAGCTGACGGGCTATGCTGCTGATGTCACCAAACCAAGCTAACAAAACGTTAACACGTCGATTCTCAAACTGGATGGCGCAACACCTAGGGTGCCACAAGCATATGTTAGGGGTGCTACGGAAGTAATCAAGAATTTTTTCCAAATCTGCTAGACATTAAATTTGCACTGTTTTTTTTTCTTCTTTTCTTAAGCATTTAAACCACTTTAAGGGTAGGTGTGCCGCAAAATTTTGTTGGCTAGACAAACAAGTTTGATAAATGCTGCGTTAACGTATCCTTAGTCCCAGTTTGATGACCTCAGCAACATGGTCGGTCAGCTGGAGCCTGTCTTGACTAGACCTAATTTAAAAAAAAATTAAATTTATATATTTTTTTAATGGGCCAGTCGGCCCTTGATTGGTGATGTGGTCAGTATCATGCCAGCTAACTTTGCTTCCCAAGACGTTACCCAATTGTGGCGGGTCGACCTGAGTGCGATGGGCAATTTATTATACCACACTTGGTATTTAATAATGTGTTTATGTATAAACTGTCGATGCACAGATTGATGAGTCCAAGCAAAACCTTGATGGAGAATCTGGGGAAAAGGCTCTCAGTAAATATAATAAAGCATTTGAAAGGTAAGACTGATTTCTCAGGAATTCCATTAATTATGACAGTTGTCTTGAATAGGCTAATGACAGTTAACAATTATAAGTAACTGAAAGAAAGAGGCAAACAGTGTTATTTAGTTGTCTCATTATTACTTTGTCTCACTCTTTATCACTTTGTCTCTCTCTCTGCCACTCTGTCTTCCTATCTATCACTTTTGTCTCCTTCCCTGTCACTTTGTCTCCCTCTCTGCTACTCTGTCTTCCTATCTATCACTTTTGTCTCCTTCCCTGTCACTTTGTCTCCCTCCCTGTCACTTTACCTACTTCTCTGTCACTTTACCTACTTTTCTGTCACTTTACCTACTTTTCTGTC